GATTATCATCGGAGATGAATTACCTTCTATAATATATCAGATGATAACATTTTTTTTTCAATTATCAATATTCAATTCAATTGCAATGACTGAAATAAGATTCATATGTAAAATATTTTCCCCAATCACTATCCAATCACTTTTGTATCACTCGTATCTAACCTCACTCTCTCATATTCCTGAATGCCTTAACAAGATTGGAATATTCATAACGAATCTTCACAAAATCGCCTTCAAAGAAAATTATAAACCTCGTTTCTGAAACTTTTTTGGGAGGAACAAAGATAAACAATTCTAATTCTCTTAGTATTTTATATTGACTAAAACTGTTTGAAACAAATAAATTAAGGTGTAATTTAGGGGATTAGTAACGATAGCGACTTTTAGGGGTTTAGTAATAATTTCAATTTTTAATCCTCACTTTACGCATTACACTGTTAAACCTAAACCAAATATAATGTATCATACATCATAATATGTATCTGAAACTTACTAAAAATATGGGATTTTTTGTAATTTATAAAAGAGTAGGGATAGAAGGTAATTTATATTTTACACTGTGTGATTTGTATAATTTTTACAAATATTATTGGCTGATAAAATTGTATTCGTACTTGAATATATTTTTTAACTGTGCAAAATATCAAATGAATATTAACCGCTGTTACGAATAAAATGAATATTAGAAAAAAAATATAATGAACGTAACTAATGACATGTAAAAATGTAGTTTTAATATTATCTAATAAAAATCCAATTTTTGATAAATAAGGATAGTTATCGATAAACTTATTTAAAACTATAAAAATGATTATTTGAACTATTAAATGAATAAAGTCACGAATGATGAAAATGTTAGGCCAAAATTGAGCGTCAATATTAGTTATGCAAAGTTCAGTTATGTATGTATTAGTTATGCAGAGTTTAGTGATGCAGGTATTAGTTATAGGATTTAGTTATGTAGGTAATATTTAGTTACGTAGAGATTACATTACATTAATAATTAACTATTGAATATTGATTTTAATATAAATTAATATTAATATATATTATTTACAAATAAAATATGTAAGCAAATAGTATAAATTCTCCCTTAAAAAAAGAAAATTTCTCAATACTTGACTAATAATTCTATGTTTTTTCTCTTTGTTTTTTAATGTTTAAAACTTATAAAAAATAAAATATTATTAATCAAGTAAATTATACTATCCTATTTTATAGTGTAAATAAATTATTATCAATATGATGCATATGTTGTTTCAACAGTTTTAGTATATCAAATTTATAAATATTATATAAATTCACGTTCTAAAAAAATATAAATACATGATAATTAAATATGTGAATATATTTAGTATATCTAATGCAAATATATAATTAGCATATGCACTATCAAAATAATGCATTCCTATTCGTAATACTAATAAATATTTTTTTGATTCTAAATGAAAATAAATAGAAAGTTGTTTGTATAAAAAAATAAGAAATGAAAATAGTTGGAAAAATAGAATAGTTATGTAAATTTTTTAGTAAAAAAGATTTTAAAACAAATTAATAGGGATAAATGTGTAATTTATCTTTCTAATACATGTATAACTAATATCCACATAACATATTCCACCTTCTATCGTGCATAACTTATACATAGATTTCGTCATAAGTTATGTAGTTATTAATTATGTAGGATTACAAAAAAGGTAACCTAACACCTTTAATCATTTAGAAATTTATTTAAATATAAATGTATTAAATAATTTATATTATATTAAATTTATATTAATCCAATTAAATATTATGGATTAACATAATTAATTTAATTATTTAAATTCAGATAAATATGAATTTAACTAAAGTCTGCTCCATAAAGCCCATATGATATTTCACTTAAATCTTATTGGTCGAAGGGAGTAATGTTCCAATCGCAATTCCTCTATTCTAAAATTATAAATAGGGGTCTCATAATTCAGAAAAGAGGACCAAAAATTTTAAAAGAAGCTTGATAAAGTTCGTGGATCAAAAGCTGTAGATTTCTCTAAAAGCTC